CTGGGTTAGGGTCTCCCTGACTGAGCTGGTCTCGGCACAAGTGATTCTCATGCCTTAGTTTCCCGAGTAACTGGGATTACAGGCACCTGTCACCATGCCTGGCTAATGTTTTGTATTTTTAGTAGAGACAGGGTTTCACCATGTTGGCCAGACTGGTCTTGAACTACTGACGTCAGGTGATCCATCTGCCTCGGCGTCCCAAAGTGCTGGGATTGCAGGCGTGAGCCACCACACCCAGCCCATACTGTCTTTCGTGAGTAGCTTTGTTGTTTGCACGACTTGATTGTCCAATTGGCAGCTTATGATGTCAGTCATTTCTGTACATTGATTCCAAAAAAAAAGCTGAAAACATTCACCTAGATCATTCAAAAAATTTCTGGTGTGGCAATGACGGGCATGATTTATGAGTTGGTCCGTATGCTTCTAAAATAAATCTCCAACCAAGATAGTTTTGACAAAAATACAGGAAAGCCTTTTCAGACATAACGAGGAGAGTGGGGGATGGTTTGGGGAGGGAGGCATCTTGCGCTAGAAACAGGCACATGGCCCAGGTAAGAGAAACAGATTTCTGGTTTGGATTTGCAATCTTAATATTTTGCAATAAGAACCGGCTGCACTGGCTCCATGCCTCCCTACTCCCTTTCCCTTCCTGTCTTTTTCAAGCTCTTTCAGTCTTCTTGAATACTTCATCCTCTCCTACCTACTCCAAATCCCAGTTTAAGCCCCACCTCCGCTAGCAGCTTTCTCTGACAACAGTCGTCTCCTAATGCCCTTCACAGTATTGTCTTTACTGCACAATTGATCATCGCCAATGCTAAGACAGAGTTTTACAAAGATCACTTTTTTTCTGAAGAGAAAGAAAATTGTGTATGGGGTTGGGGTGGGCTGGGTGAATTTACCAGGACCAGGAGGCAGTAAGGAATCCTGGAGGAAGTGTGTCCAGTTAAGATGCTACCACAACAGTCCAAGGAAAACACGAGGGCCTAAGCAAGGCAGGGATGCAGGTGTGGGGGAGGAGGACACAGGATGCTGTGTGGGGTGTGGAGTGATGCAGGAGCGAAGCCTCCCCCCAGGGATGCAGGATGGAGAGGAGGGACAGGGATGCAGGGGGAAAGCCTCCCCCCCGAGGGATGCAGGATGGGGAGGAGGGACAGGGATGCAGGAGCGAAGCCTCCCCCCAGGGATGCAGGATGGGGAGGAGGGACAGGGATGCAGG